CAATGTCAAGTGATGGAGGTGATCTGCTGGAAGGAGGAATCAGTGCGTCGTCTGGAACTTCAACACCAAAAAAGGCAGTTACAGTCCATGTAAGTTCAGCTCAAACTCAGCTCGATTTAAAGTTTAATACCATGAATTATTGGGAAAAAGAGTAATCAGAGGGAAGTGGAAGTTGGAGAGAGCTCTAGGTTAACAATTGAGCACAGATCTGGTAATTTGAACTTAGATCGAGCTAAGGTTTGTTCTTCATTATGGCATAACTTCGATCCAAAGAAACTACAATCTGAGGAGAAGAAGTTATTGTTTATTGAACCTGAGGTATTAGAAAACCGAATGTGGTGTAAAATTGGGCATAATGAAGTGCAAGAAGAGGTTGATTACTGGTCTACTTCTGTGATTTGTTATGCCGTTGGTTCTAAGCCACCTTTTCCAGTTATGAATGGATATGTGAGGAGGAAGTGGGGAAGACTGGGTATAGACAAAGTTTTGAAGCTGGAAAATGCTTTATTTGTGGCGGGATTTAAAACGATGTATTTACACCAATTTGATAATAAGCCATTTATTTGAAGCTGGAAAATGCTTTATTTGTGGCGGGATTTAAAACGATGTATTTACACCAATTTGATAATAAGCCATTTATTGTCAAAGATTGGTCGGTTGCTGAGTACTTTAACATGGATGATATACATAAAGTGCCAGTGTGGATTCAGTTTCCTAAGTTGAAACTGAGATACTGGAATGTGAAGACTCTTAGTAGATTGGCAAGATGGTTGGTAATCCAATAGAAATGGATGATATGACAGCTCTAAAACTCAGGACAGTCTTTGCATGAATCCTGGTAGAGGTTGAGATTACCAGTAAGTTGAAGGAATTCATCTGGTTTGAACATGAACATGGGAAGTTGCAAGAGCAAAGAGTGCATTATGGGTGGAAACCGGTTCAATGCAGTAATTGTAAGGGATATGGCCATGAAATTGAGATCTGTAGGCACTCTCCAGTAACAGCATGGAAGCCAAAAGCTCAGGATCAAGGAAATAACAAGGCAGTGATACAGGGGAGTCCTCAGAAAGTGAAGGATAATGCGAAAAGCAAAGGGAAAGAAGTGGTGAAATGTAAGACTCCAGTGAAGAATCATACTGAAGGTAGTAAAGGAAGAAAGGCAGATGAGGTGGTAGAAGAGAAGGCCATAGAGAAAAGTATACAAATTCTTAATCAGAAAGGTGTTAAGGTCCCTGAAAGAAGACTGTGTGATAAACAAGTTCCATGGATAAGATGAGTTATTCATATACTAGTCACCCTAATTTAGGGTCTCGTACTCATGAATAACATCTTATCATGGAATGTAAGAGGACTAAATAGTCCCCTAAAACACAGGGAGGTTGGCAGTTACCTTTCTATGAATAGAGTTGGGTTGGCTGAATTATTGGAAACTAAACTGAAACAGGAAAAGGTGGAGGAATTGATGAAATGGAAATGAAGCTCTTATGATCATTTGAGTAATGAGGTAGGAAATGATAAAGGTATAATATTGGTGGTTTGGAAGAAAGAAGAGTATAAGGTTCAGTTGCTGGAAATGAACAAGCAAATTATTCATATTAGTGTGCAAGAGATGCAAAGTAAGAAGCATTACGTCATCACAGTTGTTTATGCTGATTACTTAGCACAGGGTAGATGTCAATTATGGGAAGATCTGAAAAGAATAAGCACCATGATACAAGATGCTTGGCTGGTAATGGGGGATTTTAACTGTGTATTGAACTCAGATGAAAGATTGGGAGGCCTAAATGAAGTTAATATAGATACTGAGAAATTCAAACAGTGGGTTAAGGATAGTGAAGTTTGGGATATGCCAATTTAAGGAGGGTTGTTTACTTGGAATAACAGATAGCTGGGAGAGAATAGAATATACTCCAAGCTTGACAGAACACTGGTGAATGGTGCTTGGCTCAATTATTATAGTACAACATATACTACTGTTTTACGAGAAAGTATATCTGATCATAAAGCTTTGTTGATTAAGTGGGGAGAAGATGACACAGGTTGTATTAAAGCTTTCAGATTCTTTATATGTGGATTCAAAGTCCTGATTATATGAAGCTGGTGGCAGAAGGATGGAATATTAAAGTAAAAGGGTGCAAGCAATTTGTAGTGGTCAAAAAGCAAAAGCTACTTATAGCAAAGTTGAAGGAGAGCTCAATAGAACTCAGTTTTGAGGAATTGAGGAAAAAGCACTCCAACTAAAGTTGAAACTGGAAAAGATGCAAGAGATGATACAAAGTAACCCCCTACAGGTTGAATTGCCAAGGCATGAGAAAGAAGTACAGAAGGATTACATAACTGCAAGTAAGGCTGTTCTGAGTGTTTGGGCTCAAAGATTAAAGGATAGATGGATTCAGGAAGGGGATCTAGATACCAAATACTATCATGCTCGCATAAAAGAGAAAGCTCACAGGAGTAGGATTAGATATTTCATAATCAAAGTGGAGAGTTGATTGAGGATTGGCAGCAGTTGGAAAGGCATTTTGTTGGCTACTATGAAGATTTGCTGGGAATAGCTATTCCAGGATGATCAGCTCAATCTGAAGTTCAATGCTGGGATCAAGCTGAAAATTCATCAACAGTTTAGCTTGATTGAAGACTTTACCAAAGCTGGTGTCGAGGAAGCTATGTTTAGCATAGATAGCAGCAAAAGTGCTGGACCGGATGGATTTAGTAGTTGTTTGTATAAAAGTACATGGAGTATCATTGGAGAAGAAATCAGTGGAGCTGTTTAGAATTCTTCAAAACAGGTAAACTCCTTAAACAAGTAAATACTACTCTAATTTCTTTAATTCCAAAGACAGCAGTACCAAAGGATGCAAAGGAATACATGCCAATTTCATGTTGTAAGACCATTTACAAATGCATATCTAAGATGCTTTGTAAAAGGTTGAGCCAAGTTTTGCCAGATTTGATAGCATTAAATCAGGGAGCCTTTATCAAAGGAAGATTGATCCTGCATAATATATTACTGGCTCAAGAACTCATTAGAACTTATAAAAGGAAAAGTAAAAAACCTAGATGTGTGATGAAAGTTGATATAAGGAAGGCATATGATTTTGTAAATTGGTAGTTTATTGAAGAAATACTGCAAGCATATGGGTTTCCTCAAAGGTTTATTGGCTGGATAATGGAATGTGTTACCACCTGTATGTATTCGGTGAATTTGAATGGTAGTAGTAAAGGTTTCTTTGCTGGAAAAAAGGGGCTCAGACAAGGTGATCCCATGTCTCCATTATTGTTTGTGTTAGTAATGGAGTATCTAACCAGACAAATGAAGTTGGAAGCTGAAAAGGGTGGTTTTCAATATCATCCTTACTGTGAACAGATCACTACACTAAGTTTTGCAGATGATCTGCTTATTTTTTGTGGTGCTGACTTAACTATAGTAAGGAGGATCAAGCAGGTACTGAATCAGTTTGCTGAAACTTCAAGTCTGTCTATTAATGAACAGAAGTCTTGTTTGTACTTTGGAGGAAAGACAGATGGAGTGCAGGATCAGATTCAGGCAACTATGGAGTTTGGAATTGGGGAATTTCCAATGAAATATTTGGGAATGCCGCTTACTCCAACATCATGGACCAGAGGAGAATGTCAGTCAATGGTGGATAAAGTAACAGCCAGAATCAAGTGTTGGTCTTCAAGGAACCTATCTTATGCAGGTAGAACATTACGCATTAATACAGTGCAACTCAATCTTAATTCATATTGGGCCAGCATTTTTTTGATCCCTTAGAATGTCATCCAGCAAATAGTGAAGTGTTGTAGAGATTTTTTATGGGGGAAGAAAGAAACTTGTAAAGTGTGGTCTCGAGATAGCATTTGTAGATCAAAATGAGAAGGGGGTTAAACATAAAGGAGCCAGGTATTTGGAATAGAGCATTGTTGGGTAAACAACTTTGGGATATAGCTCATCACAAAGAAAGTTTATGGATTAGGTGGGTGCATTTGTATCACATTATAAAGGGAAGTGTTGGTGGGATTACAAAGCGCCACAGGACTGTAGCTGGCACTGGACGAAACTATGTATATTAAAAGAGCAATTGAAAGGAGGAATCAGGCAAGGAAAATGGATAGGAGACCAAGGAAGAGACTCTACTTTCCAAGGGAGGATATAAATGGATGAGGGGGAATGCACAGAAGTTTCAAGCTGCCAGCATTGTGTGGAATGGTTATAGTCTTCCAAGGCATTACTTCATTAGTTGGCTAGCATGGTAAGGAAGCTTGTTAACAATAGACAAATTGATCAAGGTTCAAGTAGTTGTCAGCTCAGATGTCTGCTGTTTATGTTAATAGGAACCAGAGAGTGTGAAGCATCTGTTCTTCGAGTGTTCATATACTAAAGATTTGACGAAAAAGATGCAGGAGTGGATTGGCTTGAAGACTGGGATCACCACATTGAATGCTACCAGATTGAGGAGGATTTGGAGGTATAGTAAAGTCAAGCAGAAATTGTTATTTGCCTGTGTAAATGATGTTATCTATAATGGTTGGATGGAACGAAATGGTAGGAAGTTTGGAGGTGAGGAAATTCCAGTTTGTAATAGAATCAAGAATATGAAGCATGAAGTGATGATGAAAGTGCAACATAGCAAGTATAGAACTAGGGCTGTTGAGAATCAAGGGCTGTTGAGAATCAATTTTTGAGGAGTCTAGGAATTGATTTGTAGCTACTTGGAAGTCAAGTTAAGTTTATAGCTACCAGGAAATTGTAAATATGTATGAGTTTTACATCAATACAAATTTACATTTGATCAAAAAAAAAAAAAAAACTTCTTAATTCCAAGTATTATCCCAATATTGACATCCAAAAAGTCCTTTTCTATCTACCTCAACCTTTTTATATACCTTGAGAACAAGTTTGATTATTAACCTCTGCCTCAACCATTTTATATCCCAAGTCCAGTCCAGCATCTAGTACAAAGAGAACTAAGGAGAAGGGCAACAAAATAAACAAAACAAAAACGGTCATCCTGCGACACACTAGTGGTAAAATAGGTATTCTCTTGACTTTTTTTTTCCCCAGTTCTGGGCCGGCCTTCATGAATACCAGCCGGGATTAAACCACAATGGAGACCCGAAAGGAGCACCGGGAGGAAGAGGGACAGCTGGAGCCGGCGGAGCTCGAGGAGGACAAGGAGGCAGAGGAGCATGACGGAAATCCGCTGGGCCACCATAGCCGGAACCGCGGCGAAGGAAAAGATGACTAAATTTGGTTACAAGTTCATGATCAATATCTCTCACCAGCTTCCCGAAATCTTTCACGAATTCATGATCATAACCACCATTACTATTACTATTATTACTTGCCGGCGGCACATAATCATGGATGTTGATTTGTAACCGGCCAAGCACATCAGGGTAATAACCTAACCCTAACCCTTTATCTAGGGCAGCGTAAATGTGCAATCTATGATTCGAAGCCAGACACTTGACCACAATATTCTCCCGAAAACCGCCATTGTTCGGGTGAGTGTACACGAAGGCGTAATTAGATTCGAGCTCATTCCATCCATGGATGCCAACCTCCTGATGATCATAGCTGAAACAGTTGTCGTCGTTGAAGGCAGCCTGACCGGCGGCACGGAGGACAAAGCCGGAGGTGAAGAAAGCGGCGTGAACGATGAATGCAATCTTGTCATGGGCGTTTCGAAAGGCAGGCATGGTTGCCCTTATTACGGCCATGACTGACTCCGTTGAAATAGACGGAGTAGAACTAGAGAACGCCGTCATCGATCTTTGTTTTCTTGCGGTGAAAGAAATGTTGAAGTTTTTTCTCTTTTGGGTTTCGAACAACAATCACGATATATACATATAATATACACAGCAATCACGTATATATATAGACAAGAAGAAGGAGAATATGTTGTACTATACGTTTCCTAGTTCTAACAGGTTTTGGAAATTACCTAAGCAAACACATCGTATCCTACTAGGAAACTAAACCAAAACTTAAATTTTACTTAAATAAGGAACATTTAAGCTAAGAAATTCCACCAGAAATGGTAAACTTACGAGTTATGCTGATGCAAACCACAATGAAAAGCAAACACTAAGACAAAATCTGTATGTTTCAAAAATCGTTTTAAGTCTAATTTAAATTATATATATATAAAGTTATATATATATATATAGCAAACTTTTAATTCCTATGTATGATGTATTTATCAAGAGTTGATAACAAACTTAACTTGGTATTTTATGCATCTACATCACAAAATCTTTTCTTTATTAAAGTCTTAAAAAAACATGTAACTTGGTAAAGTTTATATTATATTAATAGAAATTTCATATCATTGCCAAAACATTTTAGCATTTCTAACCTTTCTGCCAGATGGCAAATTACTCTATAACAGGATATAGAAGCCCATGAAATTTTACCTCAAAACCAATTGGTAATGAGTGAGGTGGCTTTTGGAACTTATATTCTGAGTCACTTATCTTCACGGTGGCGATTTGGACAAGATAATACACCAAAACCCTACCTCAAGTCTATTGGGTCTTTGAATTTTTTGCCTAATAGACTTGGATCCGGACAAGAACATAATAGCCTACGAGTCAACGCTCAAGTGGGAGAAAGTCAGTTATACCGCTGGATCGGTCCACAACAAGCCCACAAGTCAACGCTCTAGCGGGTTAATATAAAATTACCACAGGCTACCTTCGGCCTAGAACTCTACCACATGTCCAGCATGCTCTGATACTATCTTGAATCCCCATATAAGTCCAAATATGCTTCCACCTCAAAACCAATTAGCAATGAAGGAGTAACTCATTAAGTTTATATATTGATAAAAAGTCACTCCCAACACCAATGTGGGACAAGAATTTCATCACTCCCCCTCAGGCCTAACGGACATGGACTAGATCACCCAATATCTTTATGGGTTAGTGCAATTGCCTCTGGTCCAGGAAGCATAGACTTAGATTGGTCGATCACCTATTATAATATTGGGTTTGACCTGCTCTGATACCATATAGAAGTCCATGGATTCCACCTCAAAACCAATTGGTAATGAGTGGAGTGGCCATTGGAACTTATATATTGAGTCACATCTCTTCACATAGTGGCGATGTGGGACAAGATAACACACCATAACACGGGAATCTACTTAGATAATCAATGAGTTCCAATCCTATTCCATTATATCTCTATATTTTTATACATTAAAGGAGTTTTTTTAACAATCAAACATAGAGAAAATTCGATAGAGTGTTTCACTCGGTGAAAAACTAGATAGTCAAGTTCACATGTCATAATTACATTATTCTATCATTTAATGGTGATATTTTTATGTAAAATTAAAAAGTTTAAAATAAGACTAAAATAACTAGGAGATTATCCCTTAATGGTGAATTTTAATAGTAAATAAAGAATGATAATAAAAAAAGCTTCAAACTAATAAATCTAAAGATAACTAACTCTAATAAAAGAAACAAAAATAAAACGAATTATATATATATATATATATATATATATATATACCCCTACCGTGATGATAAACAAGAAGGAAATCGAAGGAACATCTACCTTCTTCTTTGACTCGAATACCATATCGCCAATCCTGCTCATCATTCAAACTTGACACCTGGTGCATAATCTAAAAGACAAACATAAAATATCATAAATCAATACTAAGAAATAATATGGGTAAGGGCTCAAAACGGTGTCACTAAAACACACTCACAACTCTCTCAGCAGCCTCCACAATATCGCATTCCACTAGAGCATGCAACTTCAAAAAGAATAGGAAAGTTTAGGTTGAAACACGAGAGAAGCAATACGATAATTGAATTATCAGTCAACCAATCAGGTCCCTAGTTCTCTCATTGAACATCATTTAAAAGGAATCAACGGGGCTATGGCCTGAGTGGATTCTTGATTGTGCCTTACTAAAAATGCTCCGCTAATAAATCTAAAAATACCAAATATTTCAACAATAGAGAACATAAAGTCATTTCAAATTACCATATAATAAAAAGAGATTTTTATTAAAAATAATAATGTGCAAACCCTAATCGACCAAACTTTTCATCTAGAAATACATGCGATCAAATTACACTGATTAGCATTCAATTAGCCTGGCTGATAAAACCTAAAGCCTCACTATAACTTCCCGTCTCATTTACGCTGATTAATTGAATGCTTCTGCTGGTTGCGGATGGAATATCAAAGTAAGAATATGTTGAATTTGTGACAAACTTGTTTGGGATATGGTGAAGCACAAGTAAATATGTGTGAGTTTCTCCTCATGGATAAAAGGGTATAGGTTTATGTTGTACACTTATCACTTACGACAAATATTGTGCCTGACATGTTGCTTACTCTTTCGTTTATCTGTTCATATATTGATGGATTTAATATATTAAGTTTATGAAAGAAATAATAAAAAAGTTTATGTTAGAAGGATAGTTTAAAATATATGATACCAGTAGAAATATTTTGAGAGATTTTTATGAAAAATTAGAGGAAAACTTTTACGAGATATAAAGCCACTAATCAACAAAAAAAAAAAAAAAAAGACCATAAGTTACATTTGATGATTTAAAATATTGAAATATATTCCAAATGTACTTAAAATAACAAAACATATTGACATTAGAAATTACACAATTGCAATTCATATATCACTTCTTAAAAAATGTCATATAATCAGACATCTAAGTAAAATAAAAAATGAAAAAAAACGAATTTGATGTAAAAACAAAAAAAAAAAAAAAATCCCACAACCATGATGAGAAAAACCAATCCACTGATCCGTATTGATTTCTATAGTTATGTTAAAGTGTAATCATTAATAAGGGTTTTTTATTTCTTGTAGTGTTTTGATTGTAAATATTTTTAATGGTAATATATTTGGGGGAAAAGGACAACCCCTCCCTCACTCCCCCTCCCCCACCCTCCCTCGAGTTATGTCTCAAAGATTAATATCACCCTGACTTTTCTTACAAGGACAATTATCCCCCTTAACCGCCAGTCAACGACATAATTGACCCCCCTAAGGACAAAAATGACAAAAAAATGTATCTAATGACCAAAATACCCTTTTACGCCTCAAAACAAATTTTTTGCGAACAAATCGTCAAAAGATTTATTTACGGATAATATATTTACCAAATTTTCTTTAAAAACTTATTTTTTAAAAAAATTAATTTGAATAAAAGCCAATGTATCTATGGTTGAATTTCCTTTTTTTTTTAAAAAAATGATAGACTTTCAACCATATTCTACATCGATTTTAATAACAATAGAAAAAATTGAAAACATGAAAAATGTTGAAATTATGCTATTTTTTCTTGGACAAATTATATCTTTTTTTTTTTTGAAAACAATATTCCACCATAAATAGATTGAAGAAATACATTCTGAAGGCGAGATTAATCATTCTTCCAATGCTTCAGATGATGAATATTTCGATATGGAATACGCAGTGGAACAAGAATCTTTTTACAGTTAAGTTTCTGCTCCAACATATCACAATCATTCGAAAAAAGCTAAGGCTAAAAAGAAAGATCAAGTTCGTCGGTTTGCTAGATTGAACAAAGATTCAACATTATTTTAAAATCAAAATTGTATTTGATATAGGGTTTTGTATATTCGCTGCCCTATTTTTTCTTTATTATTAATAAATAAAAATAATAATGACTGGAATATTCCACCACAAATAAATTATTTTTTACTAAAATTCATTTTTTTTGAAAAGATTGTTTTTAACAAAATCAGTGAATATTATTATTCCTAAGTAAATTCTTCAATGAATAAAATAAGGCATTTAAAAAAAAGAGATAAAATGTGGATCGAAAGAATTGTTTTTACGCACATATGTTCTGTCATTTTTGTTCTCAGGGGGTCAATCATGCCGTTGACTGGCGTTAAAGGGGGATAATTGTATTAATCGGCCAAACTTTTAATAACATCATGATCTATTATATTATATGTAATATTATATAATATTATATAAAAATGAGTTGCGAATGAGGTGTTGGTCCAGTGTAAAAACCACCCTTACTCTCAAGAAGAGGTTATGACTTCAATCCTCTACTCCAACAAGAGTGAGGAGTGTCTCTAACCTTGCCCATTGGAACCTCTAGAGGGCTTGTTATGGCAAACCCACACATGGACTCCCGATTTCAGACCCAAGCTTGTCACCTCGTACTTGCCTTGGGTGGCAGTGGTGGAACTAGGAATTTCGACTCGCAAGTGCTCTATTATACAAAGGTTAAACTAATTTTTTTCCCTTTTTTTATTCAAGAACGGGGGAGATATTTAAATTTTATTCCAAAATGTAAAACAAAACCAGTTCGATGGGAAGTCTTCGTCACTCAAATTCTTAGAAAAACAAGATAAAAATATATTGTTTTGATCAAATGATGTAAAAAACATAAAATATTGATTTTTATATCATTTCAAATAATTTGGCAAAGTTACCTCTTTAATTTGAAAATTGACTTTTTCTTTAAATGAATAAGTTCATTCAAATTTTTGGTTAACTAGTTGTTGATTTAAAAAATTGTGCAAAAAACCTTTATAAAATAAAATTTAATGGTTTTATCAACCGCAAGACAGTGGGCAAAGTTACTTGTAGTTCTCAAAATCTTTAAGGGAATTGATAAACAAGTGGGGCTATTTTTGAGGCCACGAAAATAAGTGGACTGATTTGGGTACTTTAAAACATAGAGGGGGTAAAATACAATAAAAAAATTAATTCCAGCATCGTCTTCTTCGTTGGGTAAACTCACTTTTTCCATACTTTCACTAAGATTTGAGGCTTTCTTTGGGTGCCAAACATCACGTCTGGAGGTGCTATTCAAAAAAAATGGGGTTTGA